GTTACAACTGCTACATCAAACTCAATGGTCATGTGTTTATGATTTGAATCATTGGCAAACTGGCTTGCCTTTACACTTGCAGCATCCTGTCATCAGTATGCAATCCTTCCAGCCAGTGTCTGAGAAGCATTTAGTAGGGAAAGCTGTAACTTAATGATAGTGGTGATTTAGGGATGTGGTGGCTCAGTGGCTAAGATGCTGAGCTTCTCAATCAGAAAGGATGGCAGTTCGGTGATTCAAATCCCTAGTGACGCGTAATAGAGTGAGCTCCCATTATTTGCCCCAGCTTCTGCTAACCTAGCAGGTTGAAAGCATGTAAGAATGGAAGTAGAAAAATAGAGACCACCTTTGGTGGGAAGGTAACAGTGTTCCGTGTGCCTTCGGAATTTAGTCATGCCGACTACATGACCATGGAGATGTCTTTGCAGCGTTGGCTCTTTGGCTTTGAAATGGAGATGAGCACTGCCCCTTAGAATCGTGAATGACTAGCACATATGTGCGAAGGAAACCTTTACCTTTTAGTGGTGATTTACTTAATGACTAGGGCCATAAAGGTCATAAAATCAGGTACAGTGTAATCCACATTCCCAGGCAATATTCATTGTTCATACAACTTTTGCCATTTGAAATACAGTGAAGTTGCTTTGAATTCACTTTTGTAAATTTGCTTGTATGTTTGGGATTACTATCTGGCTACATGTCTTGCTTCAGTTGATGGCCAAATGACTTGGTAGCCTCCTGCAAAATTCTGATAGAGATATACATATCGGATAATGGCAAGTCTAGGTCACTCCCAAACCGTGACATTGTGCTTAGGAGAATGTTTTTGTTGTGAAATGCACTGTTTATTTCCTTCCAGATACAATGTCTATGAAAAATTCTACTTTTGATTATGTCATTCATTGAACATTCCTCCAGAAGTCTGCAAAGTATGATTATATATCAGTGCTTAAGAGCTTCAGAAATGTGTTGCATTTTTTCAATATTGACAGGCATTTTTTAAGAATGACATTTTTATAGAGATCTTCAGAAATTCGAAGCATTGCATACTTTTAAAACCTAGCTGATGAGAATCTGTCTAATGAAAGTAATACTTGTAAGATTGGCAAGTTGCAGGGTCTGATTGTTAAATGAAATTCTAGAACTGCCCTTTGTTCTCCCTTTAACAATTCCATATATTAAAAAAGGAATTAGTGGCATTAATTTTTTTCATTATCAGCATATTATGTTAGGTAACCATAAAATGAAATAAATATAAGATATTAATTTTACTTAAATTCCTTTCATATTTCACTAAGGCCCACAGGAACATTTAGTGTTTATAAAAATTCAGAAAATCTAAAAGAAGGCAAATACTTCTTTCAAAGAAGAGTGAGTAATGGAAAAAATAATGAAAGCGCACAAAGTATGTTTCAGTAAAAGCAGGAAGCACTGAAATGTACATTCTATTAAGGAGGTGCATTAAAGATTGCAGATCCATATTGTGGTTTTTATTACTCTCCAGAGGGGTTTGCTATATTTGTATTATTTGCTGTACACCCATCTATAATTGGCAGTTAGAATTCATTTGGGTTTTGTGCAAATGCTAATATAGAACAAATCTTAAAATACATATGAAGAATATATTAAACAATAGTAGAAATGCAAACAGTACATTCGGTATCATACACAAAATTATTTTTACAATAATAAAAGTGAATGGCTTAATGGACCTTTATCTACTAATTTAATAAAACCTTGCATACACATTTGCATTGTAAATTTGAATCCTTTTCCTACTTAAACAGAACAGATGAAAATTCTTCTCAAGTGTGTAATCAAAATTGTTGTTTCAAATAACATTTCTCTACTGATTGATTGTATAGTTCCTCTTTCCTGTCATAAAAATATATATGTGATAGCAAGTACATGATATAAATGAAATCAAGTATTGATCACAAGATCTATGAATATATTCATTTGCCGTTTCAGTGCTACTCCCTAGAATTAAATTTTGTATGTGCTTCATATAATTCACGTGTATTATAACCATGTACTAAGTATTAAGTACTATAAATTATACTTCATATCATTCTTGTATTATATATTAGTAGTGTACAAATCAGTTCTACCCATATCAATCAGTACATGCTTTCCCAGTTCCCTGATTCAATGACTTAAAATGGAAATGTTTTGATGTGCAAGTGATAAGCTCCCCGCAAGAAACAGGCATTTTGATGGAGCAAAGTAAATGTACACAAGAGATTCTTATGCACTGCAATTCATGGAAATGTCTAGAATTCATCTGAGCCCATTGGAATTAGCTCTGATTGACAAGTAAATATTACAAATATTTAATTTCTTATTACAATATAGTCACTAGGATTAAAGATAGACGTATGAAAATAAATTCCTGTCTATTCTGAACCTAATTTAATTGTGTATGTTGAGGTAGTATAGCACTCAGAAAGGGAAGAGCTGGATTAATTCTTTTTCTGAAGGAATATTATGCATATCTGTACTGTGTTTCCCCGAAAATAAGATCGGGTCTTATTTTCTTTTGACCCCCAAAATAAGCATTTTGCCTTATTTTGGGGGAGGTCTTATTATTTTTGAGGTGCAGGAGGTGGCTGCGAGCACGGTTGCCTCCTGGCTGCTGCTGTATTGCAATATTTTCAGGGAAGGCTTATTTTTGGGGAGGGCTTATTTTAGCGCATGCACTCAAAAGCCCAATTGGGCTTATTATCCAGGGAGATCAGGGAAACAGGATAGATTACATTGTACAATGAGTCCATTAACACAATTTGCGAAATTTTGAAATGTCTAACTTAAATTTAATTCTCAGAGTTCTTTGGAAGGACATGCTATTTCCTAGAAGGAACTATTATTGTCATTTTAATAGTAGCTATTTTTAATTATTAGTGTTATCAATAGCAACTATAAGAGATAAGGGAACTATACTGAATAAAATGAAAAAATAAATAAATTTCATTGGACAATTAAAGTGGATGCTTCTGGTTATCTGAAACAGAATTCTTTTTGAATGAGACACAACCACTTTCTAAAGCGATTACCTTTTAGTCTCTCACAAAAGCACTTTGGGGAAAAAAATCTTTCCTTTGACCTCCTTTAATATCCAGAGAGAAAGTGAAGAAGGACTTTATTGTAAGTACAACGGTTTGTTATTCAGCAGTTACAAACTGCACAATGCTCCACCTTATTCTGGACCTCCACGCTGTAAAATAAAAGATTATCTTTTAGCAGAAACAAAAATCAATTCTTGCAACATTGCTGATTAGAATGATATTCATCATGCACTCATTTACTGCCTTTCCTATAGGAACTCAAGTTGATATACGTGATGCCCCCTCATCCTATTTGATACCACAATCTTGTGAGGAGGACTGAACTAAGAGAACTGGCACAAAATCATCCAGTGAGTTGTAGTTGAGGAGACTAGAATCCGATTTCGTCTCTCCTACTGCAATTCCTTAATTATTTGTTTCTGCTGCTTTCCTACATACTAGTGGCAGACATTGTCTATTCCATTTCCATACGATTGTTGCAGCTCCTTCACTCAACATGTTCCATTTGACTCGGGCACAAGCCAGACGACATCTGAGTGCCATCTAGAAAACTGTAACAAACCCTTTCCCAAATGCTGCCATCTTAGTTAAATTTTAGGAGAAAAAATAAATATGCAATTGAGTGGTTTTGGAACAACAAAAATGTAAAATGATAAAATACAGTAGGACACAGTACTTGTGGATTAGGAAATGGAATTAGAAATTAATTTCTAAACGGAATTAGAAGTCTCCTGAAATCAAGAAATTTCAGAAGATTTCTAAATAATTAAAAAATAACATTTGGAATAATTTACAGCTCTAGATATTTCAGACTCAGGCTACTTCAGTCAGATATTCCAGCCTCCCACCAGCTCTAGATAATATTCCAAGCTATATTGGAGAGTCCCAGATTGACTAAATCAGTCATGTCAAATTCAAGATTATATGTTTTAAAGCTACCAAACACTTTTTTCTTGCTTATTTTTTTAGGGGATCTTTGGAAGAAAGTGACTAAATTCCCACCTAGAAGCATTCTTAAAAAGATATGACTGAGAAAATTTTCCTCTGTGTCTTACATTTATACTATGAGGTTCCTGATGATATCAACAACAAACTCTTGATAAAACTATTCAGAATTTAGAAAGAACAATCACCAATAGATGAATGATACAAAGTAATGAAAAGGATGGATCTGGATAAGTAGAACTGACTTAACGGAGGGGTATTCAACTTGTATTTTATGGAATTACATTCATGCTGGAAGAACTGATCTTTAAATTGGGATTCCCCTGGATTTGTGTTGTTGGATTTCTTAACATTTATGCAAGTGATGCCAACTACTGCTTTATTTAGGAAGAATGAACCCTTTCCATAGTAGCTGATAGGATTAGGGTTTCCTGCAATTCTACTTGCAGCCATCTGAACTTGGTTGATAACTGAGATAGCACAGAATTTCCCATAAGCTACTTAGACAAACAACTAATGAAGATGCAAGTGAAATAGGTGGCTGTATAACTTAAATCAATCAATTTATTTAGTACTTTTCATAGAATATTCACTTTTGACAGGGATTTTAGGTCCCCTCCCCCCAAAAAAGTTTAATTACAAAATATTTTTCCACAGAATTTATTTGGTTCTTCATCTGTGGTTTCAGTTTGGCTGATATGCGATTGAGAGTTAGATTTTTTATTATAAAGTTATTGTAGTGCTAAAAAGATGGATTCATATTGCCAATGATTTTGTTTTGCAATAGGCAGTTCATTCCTTGTTTAAATCATACTCTTAATATTTTTTGGTAGAATCTAGAGATTATTCCATCTGAAATTCATGAGCTAATCATTAAAAATCTGTAATATGAAATAAAACCAATACAATGCTAAACATTACTATGACTAAAGCCTAGTTCCAACCTTCTGATTGTATTGCTTCTGTAGCACCCATACACATTTTCAAAGAACTTGTTTCTCATCACAAAAAGCAAATCACAGTGTCTACATTTTTATTTAATCATTTGATTTTTTTAAAAAAACCAAGGTTTTGAAAATAATACTAATATTTTTTCTTTTTAAAAAAATGAAAACTTACTTGAATGTATTCCATCTCTTCAACTGACATAGGTTTCCTCCTGTATTTCTGAGGTAAAGTTCTTATTAATTCTGCCGTGTCAGGTGTACCTTGTATTCTACCAGTAAATAAAGTACTTTGAGAAGATGGTGCTTTGTTTTCTGCAGAAAATTGCGAGGCTACCCCATGAAGCGGAGGCACTCTTGAATGTAGAGACTCCTGCACTGGAACAATAAGAGAGAAAACTGTATTAGGAAGAATACTGTGGGTACCCTACATCATGACTAACCATTNCCAAATTGTTGGGAGCAATATGCTGACTCTGTAAACTGCTTAGAGAGGGCTGTAAAGCACTGTAAAGCAGTATATAAGTCTAAGTGCTATTGCTATTGATGAAATCAGCCAAGATTGGCTAGGTACCAGTGTCTAATGAGCAGAAATAGACAAACCTGCAATCCTAGGTAGCTTTTTGATCACTCAATTTACAATTTACCAGCATCTCAAAATCCTGCTCTGAAATTCAGTGACAATAACACTGGTTTTCATAGTGGGATTTTACTCCCCCCTCCTGCTCAAACTGGGGAAAATTAGTAGAAAATCAATTTTCTTAATCAGGCTACTTGAGCCAGGATTGATATAAATCACAAAATCCTGACTTTGTACAGCTTAATGAGACTGCTGAACCTAGACTTGGCTGAAATCTGTTATATGACATGACACTGCTAAATAAAATTCTTTATTACAATACTTTGTTTAGATGTACTTTCTAATTTGCACTTGAAGGCCTTAAAGCTGAGTGGGTGTTGGATATTGATAGAACTAATATTTATTTCCTGAGAACTGATGGTTCTTGTCTTGTTTCTCATGTTGTTTTTGTCTTTCAGTTATGCCTCTTCTACCCCTATTCACCCCCAGTGTGTCTGGAAAGATTGGGTTTCTATCCCTTTCTCTTCCTGTTTCTAATTTCCCTTATTTCTGTGTTTTTCTTTGGAGTTGGAAAGACTTAATCTTTCACAATGTTCTGTCTTTCACATTTTTTGTCTTTCCATGTAATCCTCTTGTCCCAAAATCAAAAGCTTTTCCTATTATTTCCTGAATAACTGGTAGCTGCAAAAACTGTATCAAATTATTTAGTTTTATATAGGTCGTGCAAATGGAACTAACAAAGGAAATGGAACCAATATACTTTATCTGCAACCCCATAGGAATAGAATATTGCAGCTGAATATTGTCAGACTATGCTGGCCTTCTCTCTGACAACCAACTTGTCCAGACACAGCAAGTACAAACCCCTCAGTGCTGTTTGCATTTCTCTTCCTGGGTTATGACCAATTTCAGAATCCTACCGTAATTGAAACAGACATACAAGGAGGTTTTTAAATACAGAAGACTTGCTTACAGACTATTTCTTNGAATTAACTGAGGCTCTAATTAAATCTTAGAAGTGCCCAGAAGAAACATTTACATTTGGGCACAACAGGGAATACTGTCAATATCTTAGTGATTATATATCAATTTTTAATTTTTTTATTTTCCATTTTTATTATTTTTACAAATAATTCAGGCAATATATCCAACACACCTTCCTCCTCCTATTTTCCCCATAACAACAATCCTGTGAGGTGAGTTGGGCTGAGAGAGTAGCTGGCCCAAGATCATCCAGCTGTCTTTCATAGCTAAGGTGGGACTTGAACTAATAGTCTCTTGCTTTCTAGCCCTGTGCCTTAACTATTAGACCAAACTGCCATCTCCCTCACAGAGCAACACTGTTATAAATTAGGGGTTATAGTTGGAACACATTATATTGGGTTCACATATCATGCTAACCTATAATGTGAATTATAAACAATGAATTGCTATTTAAATGTCTTGAGCATAAATTATGGTAAGGCATGGCATCATATGCATTTAGTAAAGACATACTTACTGTTAGGTTTTGGCGTACCTTTTCTGTCTGGAAACTTAATCAGTGGTGTATGTGGTTTGACTACCTAAAGAAATGAGAAAAGCAAGTCAATATTTACATTTCTATATATACGCAGTTTTGCCAAGAAAGGATAAAATTTATGTCTCCTTTTAGACTGAAAGCCAAGTTGATGTAGCCAAGTTGAGAGCCAAAGATGCTGGATTAGAAACCAGAATATTGTGAATTCTAGTCCTTTCTTAGGCATGAAAGGCGACTTTCAGCACCACCCTCCTCACACCAATATTGTTGGTGTGAGGAAAAAAGGTGAAAGCATTATGTACATTGTCTTGATTGTAGAAAATAAAGACAATATATAAATATAATGATGATGATGATGTTTCAGTGGAGATTATGTGGAAGCTTATATAGTATCAACTGAACCAGGAAACCAGTACTTAATAATTTAGGACTGGAATGAATGTATTTACATTTACAAAACTGCTCTGCTTTTTTAATTTTAAAAACCTGGGACTTATTCCAGTGTTAAAACTATCTTATTAACTCTAGACATACTACTTATTAATTTGCACTCAGATGACATCCAAAGAAAAATACAACCACAGTTGTTACATTTCTTCTATTGTTTTTGAGGAATATTACCATCTGCAGATTTGTACAGTTTGTCTAAAGTTTTGTTTTATTCTTAGTATTGCTGAGAAAAAAAGGGAAGACTAGATTCATACATACAATTTCTATTCTGCAACTCAGGCCAAAAAGGATCTCTGAACACATTATATTTTGATACAAAACAAGAAAATCCTTGCTCGTCTCTCCTTGGCACTATTTGGTGGAAAATCTGTTACTAATACAAGGACACTTAAGTGCCAGCTTTGCCCTTTTTCCTTATTCAGATTTTTTCCTCCATATAATACTTGAAATTTTGAGTTTTACAGAACCCTGACTTATCTGAATTGGTTCAGTAGAACCCATGGAATGTGAAAGTTTGTTCCAGATTCAAAAACCATTTCCCCCATTTTATGCACACCAACATCAACAAAAATATTTTTTTAATTTTTGATCCAAGTTATATTTGCTGAGTCAAAGCATAAACATCCAATTGTATCACCATTAGAGTTACAGAAACAAAAAAAGATATATTTTAGTGGATCTAAAGAAATTGTTGTAAAGCTCAGAGGTAAATCTAACAATTGAGCAGGTGGCAGGAAGAAAATGAATGGAAAAAAGCATATGGGGGGCGGGAGATACACGCAGAAGAGAAAAACTATCACAGGGTCTTAATATTAGTTCACGACTCACATGTCTAAATTTAAAAAAAATCACTTTCCACAATAGACGTCAGGGTCATCCATAGAAATTGAAGTAGAATCATATGCCATTTAAGCTGCTGGTACTAATCTTCTGCTTAGTGCAGAAAATCCAAATCAAAAGCATTCCAGAAAGATGTCTATCAAGACTCTGTTTGAATACATCCAATGGTTAACTCCATCATATTCCAAATAGGTAATAAAGGAAGCATGTTTAGTAGGCAAAGAATGGGAGAAGAACCAGATGTGACAAAAAGGAGGTATGATATTCCAGCTAATACATTATATATGTTAAATAACACCAAAGAGAACTTGCTGCACCTCAGCTTTCAATAAGTCCAGCCAACAAGATAAGTAGGAAGAGATGCATAAAACTAGTTTACCAACAACTATAGGATCACACAGTCTACCCAATATCCCTAAATGCTTGAATTCATAACAGCAATGAGTAGTTCTAGATAGATGTATACAGCATGGATGGTTCTAGATTTTTGCAAAGCTGTTCAAATAACAAATCATGCAATTCAATGATAAAAAGGGCCTTTTTAAAATGTCAGACAAATGTTTGAGTGGATATTAATATTAATAATATTTCTATCAAAGCTGATACTGTAATGCAACAGCATAAAATCCTGATTCACATTTAGCCTCATCTCCAATTTGGGAAACATATTTTTATGAACTTTGCCAAAAGTCTTGGCAAGCATTAATGGAATAAATCTCCAAGTGCCGCCCTTCAAAACAACGTCTGCAAGGCCTCTTCGTGTTTGGGTTTCTTAGCAGCCCTTCCTATAAGCTGGTATACCTCTAATTGGAGAGGTCCGGGAGCTGCAGTCCAACAAAGCGGAGAAATCTGCTCTACCGATTTACTGGGGAGAGGAAACTCAAGGTTTTAACCTAAGAAGTCTCCGGAGCGTCCGCCGTTTTTCCATGGAAATTGCCAGGGAAGTCTCTGAGACTGGCTGGCTAAGACTGAGTTAAAGATACCTGGGTAGGTCGAATCCACTTTCCAGGACTGGCGTTCCTTTTCCTTCCCACTCAAGGACACCAGCACCGGTTAGTGCAGCTCAGGACCAAGGATTCGGTCCCCAACCTGCAGGCCCCAGAAACCTTGCATAGAACTGCAGGTGCAGACAGTTCCCAGGCGCGCCCAAAGCTTTCGTCAAGATACTCAATTTGAAGGTCTTACCTGAACGACCCTACTGGCCGCCGCCATCTTGCTGCCCATGTTGATACCCCGCCCGGTCAAAGGAAAGAGCGCGCCAGCAAAGCGTTGTGGGAGCGGTAAGGCGGGATCTACCTAAGCCCCGCCCCCCCACGAAAAGCACGGCTTAGAACCCCACGGAACAACTGTGATGTATACAGAACGTGGTACGGCGTGCTTTTCATGCAACTATCGAATGACGGATTGGCGGATAGCCAGTGTTTATTTTAACTAGCTATTTATCCAACTTCTATATTCCTTGTTTAAAATTGATTTATCCAGGCTTACATAGTTGCCATGTAGCAGATAACGGTTTTCACTATGCAAATTTGTTTGCATAGCACCTTTTCATATTTACACAAAAGTAGTATGGCAACTACAAGCTGATTTTTTTTTGAATATTTGCACATACAGATATTTGCATGATGTGTTTTGGCCTCTAACAGGATATCCAGTCAGATTGAGTTAAGCCATTTTGAAGCATTGACCTTTTTTCTTCATCTATGCTATCTACTTAACTATCTTCTCTGTGATCTTCAAAGGGGAGAAAATATTTGTGTAAGCTTTCTAGTATTTTCTAGTTACATTAACTAGAAAATACTAGTTTCATGTCAGATCACTAGAGTACACAATGTATTTTTTTAATTGCTAGCACAGCTTCAGTACTAAAGCGCATTTATTGAACCCATTAATATTTTGTTTTAATAAAATTGTGAATTCCCTTACCTTTTTTGGCTTTCAAAATTTTTGTTCAACTAAAGTACCTACATTTATTAAATTGTATATTGTATTTAAATTTATACCTCCACCACTGGACATTTAATTTGATAACCATCCTACCCTTTCTTAAACATCTCTAGCAAAGTCAGTCTATCTCTGAACGCAGGCTGCACAATATTAAAAAAATTCTTATATTTCACAAGCTTTTTTTGTATTTTAAACTTCTCAATAGGCTTTTCTAGTAATAAAAACATCAAACTTTCTTTTTGGTAGGACAGCTTTTATTGTCTTAAAATATTTTCCCCTTAGCATATTCAGTTTCAACCATTTAAGAAATTTCCGGCCCTCATAATTTTTGCCACCGCCTCTGGACATAACCAGTTTGGTATCTTTCTCAAACTGTTGCCCTAGAAGTGCAAATGAGAACACGGACTGTATTGTGAATTGTCTACTTTTTGTCCTGTGATATTTTGCTAATAGGTTATTTTAAAAGGGAAGCTCCTTCAGATTTTTATCTAACTACAGTGCACATACCAGCATTGAGATAATAGCATCAATGGGAATTTTACATATCTAATGTTAAAAGAGCAAGATCCTACTGCCATTTTATATGGATTCTTGTGTGTCTTGGTTCAAAATATTTATTTCTGTCTGGGAACATTAACAAGAGGCAACCTAATAATACGGAACAATTACAGTGTAACATTTCTGCAAAAATAAAATCTTTATCAACATTTAGGATATGGCCTCCTATTTAGATATGGTTATACTATATTATCCATTCATCAGCTATGAAAAACTACAGCAGATATAAAGAAATAGAATATTACAAATATCTTACAAGAATGGCCTAGGGAGAAAATACTGTTCAATAATATTTGGTAATGTCTACTATGAATATTTGAACTACTGATGATTTATTAAAAATCCGCTGAAATTAGACGTAAAGAATTGTAATAAGAATTTAGCAAAACAACAACAACAATTAAGTTGTATCATTCATAGCAAGAAGACAAAGCACAGGCTAAATTGAGAGAACAAAGTGGCTACCTTTGTAAATATCTACTTTTGCCCAAGGCTTATTGCTCTGTTATTACTGGAATCAGCAATTGGAAACTTGTGCAAAATTAAGAGAAGATGTGAATTATTTTACAGCTAAATGACTCTCCTGTAATAGCTTCTTGGATACATTTACAATGACTACAACAGAATTTCCTTTTTGTTGCTATATCAACCATACTTCAGTGGAATATATTCTTGTACAGATACATTACTCTTAGCATATGACTAGTATATTACAAAAACCTGATAGATTACATTTTTATCTCTGAATTTGGAAACCACAGAAATAAAATAGTCATTAACAATGTTTCAGATGTCAGTCACATTATTCTCCAGTTGTAGAACAATTTTCTTCAATGCTGGATCCTTTGCCCAATTTACTCCACTTCCAGTAATAAGGTTCTGCAATTAATATTATTTAAATATAAAATCAACTAATTAATTATATACATGTAAATGAATAAATAAGGATTTTTTTGTTCTCAATTATATTGTTTTAATATGCAAATAAATACAAGTTCCACAACAAAATAAGCAATCAATTATTGCTAAGTTATATCATTTGTAAATTATATTATGCTTCTGCAATGAAGTGTTTTTAAATGTTTATCTACACAAGATTTGTTTATTATTAGAATATGAATATTTAATAAATTCCATATATACAGTTAGTTCTTGATTTATCACTGCAATTGGGACTGCAATTTTACAGCCATTTTTACCATCACTTAGTCATAAGTCCAAATCACATGATTGTTAAGTGAATCATGCAGTCATAAATCTGAATCCATCCTCCAGAAAGGGCATTTTTGCTGGAAACCTGCAAAGACGATGTAAATCATGGTCGAATGACCACNCACAGGCTAAATTGAGAGAACAAAGTGGCTACCTTTGTAAATATCTACTTTTGCCCAAGGCCTATTGCTCTGATATTACTGGAATCAGCAATTGGAAACTTGTGCAAAATTAAGAGAAGATGTGAATTATTTTACAGCTAAGTGACTCTCCTGTAATAGCTTCTTGGATACATTTACAATGACTACAACAGAATTTCCTTTTTGTTGCTATATCAACCATACTTCAGTGGAATATATTCTTGTAGATACATTACTCTTAGCATATGACTAGTATATTACAAAAACCTGATAGATTACACTTTTATCTCTGAATTTGGAAACCACAGAAATAAAATAGTCATTAACAATGTTTCAGATGTCAGTCACATTATTCTCCAGTTGTAGAACAATTCTCTTCAATGCTGGATCCTTTGCCCAATTTACTCCACTTCCAGTAATAAGGTTCTGCAATTAATATTATTTAAATATAAAATCAACTAATTAATTATATACATGTAAATGAATAAATAAGGATTTTTTTGTTCTCAATTATATTGTTTTAATATGCAAATAAATACAAGTTCCACAACAAAATAAGCAATCAATTATTGCTAAGTTATATCATTTGTAAATTATATTATGCTTCTGCAATGAAGTGTTTTTAAATGTTTATCTACACAAGATTTGTTTATTCTTAGAATATGAATATTTAATAAATTCCATATATAGTTAGTTCTTGATTTATCACTGCAATTGGGACTGCAATTTTACAGCCATTTTACCATCACTTAGTCATAAGTCCAAATCACATGGTTGTTAAGTGAATCATGCAGTCATAAATCTGAATCCATCCTCCAGAAAGGGCATTTTTGCTGGAAACCTGCAAAGACGATGTAAATCATGGTCGAATGACCACGGGACACTACAACCAGTCATAAATATGGGTCATTTATGTGACTCATTTACAGGACTACCTGTAATCTGAATAAAAAGGGACAAAAATGTATTGCATATATAGTTTTGTTCTACATTACACTAACCTGTGCATTTTATGCCTGTAACTATAATAGTAAATATGATGGTAATAATTTATATCAATAAACATTGAAACACTCAATGTCTACAGGTGGTCCTTGTTTAAGGACAACTCAAACCTACAAGAGAAATGGTAGTTACAATTGGTCTTTGTATTTATATTGTTCACAGGATCCCTGCAATCAGGATTTGCCTGACACACATTTTCTACATTACAGCACCTCACAGTCACAATTGCCATTTGTGACTTTTGCTGGCTTCCTACGAAATCAGTAGGGAAGCTGGTAGAAAGTCACAAATGCTGACAGCACAGCTTCACTTAATGACCTGTCATGATTCACTTAACAAAAGCAACTGGAAGTGCTGGGATTTTTATTGCTAGATAGTGTGACCACATGACATCATGCTTTACAACTAAGTCACTTAGCAATGAAAATTCCAATCATATTGTCATAGTTAACCAAGGAATATCTGTATTTGATATCATTTTAATTTTCATGTTTCACATCTAGTACTGTACAAACTAATTCATTCTACCAAGTAAGGCATTTTTCTATCTATAAAAATACAACTTACCTGAAAAATGTTTTGAATCAATGTAGTCATCTGAATTTCCTTTTGTACATTTTTACGAACTTTCTTCAACATTTCACCAACCTCCATATTTTCTAAATCCTTTTTTTGTTTTCTCTTCATATCATGTATTTGTGCCAGTTTACATTCTCCAGCTCGCTTTAATTCTATTGTAGTATTGGAGGGGGAGGGGGAAAGAAGATAATAAAGCTACTAATTTAAAAACTGAATTCAGGAACATGCCTTGCGTTCACTATATTTGGGGATTAAAGTAATGAAGTTAACATTTGAAATTAAGTTAAATTTGTGTTATTTCAAATTAATTTATCCTATTGATTTTTTAATCACGAATAGTAACGTACCTAATCTGCTCTTCTTAACCTCATTCAGTTTTTCTTCCAGTTCACGGGATTGCTGCAAAACCAAGTAATTTATATAAATATATGCATATATTAAAAGTATTCATACATCCAGATTAATACAATTACAAAGATTAACTTTTCAAATATATTACAACATTAGTTTCAAATGCTGCTTTTATAGACAAATCATTATCATTTTAATATAAAGGATACTCACCTGCTTTGATTTAAGTATTGCTGTACTAAGCATCATGATATGTTTAATAGTATCCCAGATAAACCTAAGAAGAAAATGCAGAAAAATCAACAAGATCTACTAAAATGTGAAACCAAATCATATGTTAGATAGATTTAAAACACTGGAGAATTGCTTAATTCTTTCTCAAGCCACAATATGATTTTTCTGTTCC